GAAAGCTTCTTGCTGGTGTGAAAATAGGTTAGCACATTATAACCCTTAAGTATTTTTGTACCACAATATTCTGGCTCAACACCAAGCTTTTTTTTTCCCAAGGTGAAAATCATTTTTGAGGTTCACAGAAAGCTGAAAATTGGCATTAGAGCATCTGAGTTACCCATAATGTTTAGGGAAATACTTTATATGTAACGCAAATTGAGGGGGGAGAAAGGGTCTGTTCCTTACCCACAGAACATAAGGGACAAACTGGACAACGTGAGTGCTTGCCCCTCGGAGCAGGTGTAGGATCTGTGCAGCAAGGTCCCAGTTTAGAGTCAGGCAGAAATGAGTGCTTGAGATCGGAGTGATTTGTCCCTCAACAGAGGGAGTGACAGAACAGGATTTATGTGGTAGGTTTAGATCTTTTACACTAGGTTGTTAATTTTCTGCTAGCTTTGTTCCTCGAGTGAGTTTGCCCAGGTTCAGATGAGCAAAACTGGCAGAGGCCAGGAGGAAAAGGGAGGCGTCTGGGGCAAAACCTTATTACAACCACTTAAACTACTATAGAAGCACACCCTGTGCAAGGCAAGGTAAGCACCTAGCAGTAGATGATGGGTGTACCTTCCCTCAGCTGTGAAGAAGTAGGTGACTGTTTCAACCCACAGTCCCTTTTCTTTATCTCTTGGTGTAATTGTTTCTGCACGTAAAACCTGGTATGGTTGGTGTGGCTGTGGAACTTCCTCTTAGTGATGCTTTCCGTTCTGCTAAAATGTGTTTCTGGGGAGATAGGTTTGCAAACCTTCCAGTAAATTACAGGTTTTAGAAATTTAGCACTTGTGTTTCTCCATAGGTATTTTTAAACAGTCTTTTCTTGTGCTACAGACTCATTGAAAATACAGGGGAATTCACCTTTTGAATGTCTCATGGAAAAAAAGTCTATTCTCAGTATACTAGGAGAAATTTTTGGTTGTCTGTTAGTATGTTTCGGGAGTTCAGACTACAGGCAAGTGCTATGCATAGTTTTCCCATTCAAGGCATGGTATTCCATCAGAGGCCTCCTTTAAATGCTGGGGTCCTGTCCTAAATGTTCAATAGAGTTTCAAAACTGAAATGTCTGCTCCAATCTTCCCCACATTAATTCCATACCTCTCTCACATGATGTGGTAATACATGCAGAATGCACTCTTTGTCTCTTCTCTGTGCTACTTGGTATGCAAAGACAGCACTGAAATCAATGCAAGGCTTCAAGTGAGACCACATTTAGAGCTAGCATATATTGAAAATGGTGCCTGATGAGAAGTTTGTTTATGAAGAACGTTTCAAAGCCAAACAGGAAATGTATGGAAAATTCTTGCAACAAAGTTTTTCTTTCAATGGCAAGGAAAATTAATTTTGACAGTCTTCTGTGTGCAAGAAATATTTTCTCCCTCATACTTCTGTACCAAGAAGAGATTATTTACTAATGGAGCATAGAAGTTGAGAGGTAAAAGTAGCTACATCACATTTCTTTGTAGACCCTACAGATAAACTGGCAGAATATTAATCCAGACCAAATTGCTCTATGTAGAATTCCTAGCGGGGATCCTATGTTAAACAGTAGCTTAATTCTGTACTTGTCTCATAAATCATCTTACAAATACTGCTCTGAGCTATGCAGTTCATCTTGCACACTGTAAATTTTTCTGAACTTCTATAGCAACCAAGACCACTGTGTGAGAGGGATAGTAGTCTCAGTTATACCACAAAAGGGGAGGGGCGGAGGGGCACAGGCATGCTACCCTGGAGGAAGACTGGGTTGAAGGATTGCTCTGGGCTCACTGTCAGTCTTGCCTGAGATAAAGGCCAAAAATTTAATAAGTTTCTGCTTCCTGTGGCGTATGTGAGAAGAATCCCTCTTGTACGGTCTTCACTGAACTCTTGGGTTTGAGGTGCCATCTTGCTTCAACGAATAAAGGTTTAAGTAGATGTCAAAGGAAAGTCACCCTGAGGGAAAAAAAAAAAATCTTAGCTTTTTCTTCAACCAGCCCTCTCTGCCTTGGTGGTATGTGCTCAGGAGTAACAGAGCAAGAAGAAACACAGCCCGTACACCATCTGAATATTTACAAATGCTCACTGACTGAGGTTTTTTTTTTTCTTGGGGAAGCAATGATAAGACCTGTAGAATCTTGTTAGTTTGATTGTATTTTTGGGGAGGAAGGGGTAGAAATCCCCATAGGAACACAGAAACAAAATGCCATTTTATCTCTTCAATAAGGTCTTTGCTTAACTCAAGCACAGATGAAAGTACAGTTCTTGCGACCTCTCTGACTAGGCATCACAATCAGATCGTAACTCAGATGATAATGCAGACGAATAGTACATGATGGACCCTAGTTGTTCCCTGAAGTTCTGCCTTTAATTACAATGGTGTTCCCACGGCAACCACTGAATGAAGCCAGTAGCTAAGTTCACTGTTTTGTTAAGGAAAACTCACTGTTTTCCCTTTCCTCTACCAACTGTGATTTTTGCCTCAAGCTTTTTTTAACTCTGCTTAAAAGCCACAAGGATGTTTTGTAGTCATTTTCCAGCAAGTACTGTGTTGGTGATGAAATCACGTGTGTTTGCTATCTGAGAGAGTGTGAGTGTGTGTGTGTGCGCGCACAGCTGTGATAGTCATTCGACCAGACAACTTGGCTTAGAAGCAAGGTGTCGTGAGAGGGGAAGCAAAACAGAGATTTGGCTTGGCAAACTCTGCTTTTCTTTCAGTGTAGGATTTTTTTAAAAAAAGGAAATCACTAGCCTGCCAAATCCATATACTAAGAAAATCTAGAGCAGTATTTCCTGATTTTTCTGTTACTGGATCTCACCCTGCTTTGTGTCAAATGACTACAATTTCCACGGAGCCAAAACAGGTCAGGCAAAGCTTGGACTCTGAGTTACACAAAAACGGCTTTTTAAATTACAAATGAAAACAAATAAATAAAAGGGCCTCATATGTGCCCCCCCCAACCCTGTAAGTCAGACTCCTCACCCCTTCAGTCAGTATCATGTCTCACACACTTTGTATTGACCATCCTCATCATTCCAGATGCTGAGGGTAAGAATCAGCTTGTTTTATCAGCTTCAAGTTACTTGTGGTGCTCCTATCCTCTCCTCCACGCTCAGTGTTTATGTTAATCTGTTCCCACCTGCACAAGTCCTCCCCTGAAGATACATTTCTAGCTGGCCCATGGCAAGCTACCCTCACAGCAGTCTGTGCTTCCCGTTTCAAGAGCACATGCTGCTATGTGAAGTACCCCTTTAGCTTCTTGTACCTCCTCTGTCATTCTATCAGCAGTACAGGGCGAAAAAATATCCATTTGTCTAGTGATTAGTGAGTTTTTGCTTTTCCTTTTAGCCTATAATTACAGCCAAAATGTGAATGTTCTGCAATGCCTATTTTAGAATATTCTCTCTTCTCCCTTACTTGTAAAATTGACTTAGATTTTATTGAAGGAATTAAACCTTGAAGTTAATGACTGCAATTAGTCATATTTTCTTTCCTCGGTAAGTCTTTGAAATGGGCTACGCTTTCCAAGATTAACTTTTGACAAATGTTCTTTCTATCCCAGATTTGGATTTGCAGCTTACTCCTAGTGGAGAAGTCACAAAACAGATTGGAGAGGCCCTGCCTGTGTCATGTACGATTTCTTCTAGTAGAAATGCAACTGTGTTTTGGATAAAGGTCAGTAATTCATCTACTTCACACTTCATCTGAGTGTTTGCCTCTTCATATTACTGCTGCCACTTCAGTTTTTTGGAAGGAAGTCGTTCATTGGGCTTTTTAAAGAATATTGTTAAAATGAATCTTACACATACGGATAAATGACAGCTCCTGACTCAAGCTGATGACTGAAAATCAGTTACTGCAATTATCGGCTCGTTTTCAGATGGGGAGAAGTAATGCCTACTGTAACACAAATACAACTTTCTTTGAAATGGTCTATACAAGGCCCTTTAAGAATCAGGTCCCTCAAAGAAGGAAAGCCCGTTTGGAGGAATTTGGATTCATTATTTTTTTTTCTCAGAGGCAAGGTTAGTCTTGGTTCCAACGAATGTAATAAAAGGGCAAGGCAGGTTCAAAGATTGGGTGTTAGCAACTGGTGTTCAGTGACTGGTAAAAAAGGTAGCTATCATAGATGGTGGGTTTAAATTAAACCTGTACTGCTGGAAAATAAAACTAATGATACCTGATGGTTGTTTAGTAGTGTATGTTGATTTCTCAAGCCTGGCCTAGAGGATAGTTGTCTGCATCTTGAACAGTTTGTACCACTAGTGGTTTTGGCCAGCCTACTATAAAAGCTCAGAACTGATAGTTGATGCCACCGGTGGCCTTGATTTGAAAGTAAAGTTGTTCAAGAAGGGAGGTGGCTTTTATAGATCTCCAGTAGTTCTTGCTTTTCATGTTGTTATGTTGCTGTCAGCTATTCAAATTATTAGTCAGTTCTTAATGGGAGAACATTTTAAGAGAAGGTTCTAATCTACCAAAGCATGTCAAAAATTCTATTGATAGTAGTTACATTTGTAATTTAGAGGTTAATGTTTTCTGAGTTATAATTCACAGAGATTAACTCTTACTTTATCAGGACAATACCAGAATGCAAACAAGTCCATCATTTTCAAGTCTTCAGTATCAAGATGCTGGAAACTACATCTGTGAAACTACTTTACAGGAGGTCGAAGGGTTAAAGAAAAGAAAGACACTTAAACTTATTGTGGAAGGTAAGGGAGCAGATAGCTATGAATATTAGTTGTCGTTTTCAAACAAAATGGTTAATTGTAGTATTTTTTTTGTAGGAAAACCTCAAATCAAAATGACAAAGAAAACCAACACAAATAAAATGTCTAAAACAATTGTCTGCCATGTGGAAGGTTTCCCCAAACCAGCAGTGCAATGGACAGTTACTGGTAGTGGAAGCATCATAAATAAAGCAAGTATCTTTCTTACTACTTTATTCACCAAAAGATAGTGCATAGCAAGCGCGATTTAAAATCGAGGAATACTTTCCAGGTAGTGAGATTGAAGAAGCTAAATCTTTTTCATTTATCTAAGAGAAGGTTAAGTGGTAGCTGTACCTACATGGTACTTACATGGATGATTTCTGATGATAAAGGTCTTCTGAATAGAGCAGGTGAAGGCACAGATGATCTGCTGGCTACAAGCCAAAGCTGGAAAGAAAAATAAAAGGTTACAAATGAAATATGCATTTTTAAGTGAAGGTACTTAGTCGTTTTATCTGGGTAATGTGGTGATTTTGCCATTGCATAAAGAATTTACAAATAATGATGGAACTATAGAACTTACATTAGAAAGCGAATGGGGAATTGATATGGGCATTAACTGTGTGAAATGTAATGAAATGTGGCAAGTACGAGTCAGAAAATACAGTCAATATAGTTCCTTATGGGCTTTGCAGTTTTTATCCTGATTTTTATAGTTGATTTTTTATAGTTATATCTGTTATTTCTCACTGGAAACAGAACCATAATGCAGTCATCCTGGGGGAAAAATAAGGAGTATCCATATACAGCAGGAAAAATACCTGGAAAATAAGCAAACTGAAGTATTTTCATATTGATTACCAAATCACATGCAAAGCATTGCCACATTTTGCCTTAGCAGGAAAAATAAATGAGACATTTATACAAGCAGTCAGGGACTGGAGTACAGGGCACAGCGCTCCTGTAGATGTCATTACTCCATTAGGTTTTGCTTTAGTGCTACAGAAATTATGTATAGCTGTCAAAATTTGTCCATTTACTTGAAGCTGTAGGGTAGGAATTGTGTTGAAGCCATATAAATGATTAGAAATAATTTTCTCTGGACAATGCATTAATCTAAGAATGATGTAAGCAAATTTAAGGAACAACTTCACATCACTATTACAGTACGGATACTGCAGGTACAACTAAATACATGTAGCTTGGCAATATAATGCTTAGTGTGGAAACAACTTGGAGAGCTAGAAAGTGGAAAACTTACAGTGATTATTTTCCTTATAAAGAAATAAATGAAAAACATCAAGATGGAAAGAAACAAGATCTTAGGAGTTTGTTTTGAGGTTTTTCTTTAAGGATTTTGTCACCAGTAATATTTTTAAAATACTCGAAAGAAACAAAAGCAAATACAGAATGTGGTTAGCGTTCTCAAAAATGCCTCTTTATCAGTGGTCTTGCAGTGCACGCTGTACAAAATGTGGCTATAACTGAATATCTTGGCCAAGGTGTTTTCTTGCAAATATTCACGTTACCGTTTAATAAAATAATGTGTTACTTCTATTGCTGCTGTTTGGAAAATGGAAATATTAATTGAAAGTTATTTCCCTCTGAACATTTTCAATGTGTAGTACAGGTAATGCATGTATTGTTCTTTTCATTTTTCAAGGATACTAATCTTCATTTTTTACCTTTTCAGACAGAGGAGACCAAATACGTTAATGGAAAATTTTCCAGTAAAATTGTAATTGCTCCTGAGGAAAATGTGACTTTAACTTGCATTGCAGAAAATCAGCTAGAAAGGACTGTGACCTCCCTGAACGTCTCTGCTAGTGAGTGTCTTCTAAAGGCCATTTTCTTAAAGTTCTGTTTTCACATAAAGTACGCACACTTCACACCCATATGAGGGGTAGGTCTGCACAGTAATGTTGATACCAAGATATTTAACCTTAAAGTCAAGAACCTTAAAGTCAAGCAATTGTAAATCCACTCTGGATCGCTAGCACATAAAATTTATTGATTTCTGGATGAAGTCACTTAGTCTTCATGACTTTCTCGGCTGGCTGTCTCATGTATGCAGTATATTATTTACAAAAGTAAATAATATTAGAAAATAATATTACAACATAATAGTACAAAAATATTGCAAAATAATAGATTATTTATGAGACAAAAGTCTTTATTTATTACTAAATTAACATCATCTTTTAGTCCCCAAATTCCAGTTTATTATTACTGGTATGACTTGACGCAGAACAGAAATCAGCCATACTGGTCTTTAATCAAATGTCACTTTTCAATGAAAGCTGCTGAGAAGCTACAGTTTGTGGAAGGGTAGCACAGAAGTACTCAGTCAGAAATATTTCTGAGATTAATATTACAGATTGTGAATAAGATTCTTCAATTGGTTATATTATAGTTAGAAAGAAAAAACTTCTGCTTAAAGATAAGATTAATTACCTTGTTGTTTGGCAAACACTGCATTAATGGTAGTGTTTCTGTCATTGCTGTAAATAGGCGCTTAAAGGTGATGTTCAGGTATAACACATTTTGTCTTTAATTTAATTTTAAAATTTTTCATTTCAGTAAGTATTCCAGAATATGATGAGCCAGAGGATAGAAATGGTATGTATGGTTTCCTGTCTCCATAATCCTTTCTGTTGATTGTCTCAGTTCAAGTCCTATGTAGTGTCACTGAACAAATTTCCACAGTCCCTCAAAGTTGGGCTTGATTTGAAATAGCTGGTGCCATGATTGACAAAGAATGTGACTTTCGTGGAGTTTTAAATGTGTTTAAGAACAATGCCTACTTTTTTTTTTTTTAATTTTGACTTTCTGACCGCTTTTCGTGTTTTTGATGGAAATTCTTTGGAAACAGTGTAATGCTTTACTTCATCATAGGTCATCTCATTAACTTTTCTTCTTTGCTTCAGATGACAATAGCGAAAAGGTTAATGACCAGGCAAAGCTAATAGTGGGGATTGTAGTCGGTCTTCTGCTGGCTGCTCTGGTTGCAGGTGTTGTCTACTGGCTCTATGTGAAGAAATCAAAGTAAGAATTTATGGAAAACTTGATACTAAATTGAAATGAGAGTAACAATAAGCAGAAATGTATGTCTACCTGTTTTCCTTCCTGCAGCATTCCAGTAGTTTGAGTGGGGAAAAGTTGTTATAGTAAGTGTGTTTAATAGAGAAGGGAAACTTGTACCTCTGATGGGCTTGTCCTGGTGCTTAACAGGACTCATGTCCCGGAAGTGGGGTTCTAAGACTTTTCATAGATCATCACCTGTAATGAGGTTCTCTTTCCTGACAGCCAAGTCTGTGACAATTCTTGCATTTAAATACAGTACCTGCTACTTAATTGTGGAATGTTACATCTGTGTGGCTTTATGGTACTAGAAACTGTCCTCATCTAGGACTTGGGTAGTTCATTTGCTTTAAAAATGGAAAAAAAAATTACAGAATAAGTCTAAACCATCTCAGGGAGAAGAGAGATCCTTAATTAATTTGTTCATATATACTTAGAGATCTCTGAAGTAAAGTTAGTAAAGATAGACCTTGTGTTGCTGAAAATTTGGAAGCTGTCATCCAAATCAATATGTTGTAGCCATCCTAGGCATAGAACAGGATTTACCAGTGAGGCCTGCTTGCTTTCAAGTTTCTTTGTTACCACACAGGCTCACTTTAGAGAAATAAACTGGATGATCTCAAAAAGTAACCATGTTTCTCCATCCTTTTAAAGATGGCCATGGCTGTATGCTATTTGGCCTTATCCCCATACGTCTGTCTCCAGGGAGAACTGAGGGCAGGCTTGCTCTCTGAAGGTTCTGTACAGCTGCTTCTTAACAGGGAAGATTAAGGTACTTAATGCATAACATACACAAATCAGTAGAGGTATAGAAGCAATCTTAAAGTTCAGTTGTTCTTTCTATGACCTTTCATTAAAAATAGATCAAATGAGATCTAAAATATACCAGTGGGATTTTACTATGAGCAAATGTGTTTTCATTCATGTGAAAGCACAACAAGGAATTCTCCATCTGCTTGAAAATACTCTTTTTTTTTTAGATAATGCATAGGGATTTTACTCCAGCCGTAACTGAGCAGGTTTTGGAAGTTTTTCAAATAAAGAATTGCTATAAATTACCCAAGCACAGAACCACATTCAGATATTATACAGGAAAAAAAAAATTTTTGGGTAGAAATTAAAAAGTAATAATAACATTGAGCTCCTCCTCTCACACTTTGCTACTAGCGTAGTAATGTCCAGAATAATTTTCTTTTGTCTTTCCTTTTTTGAATATGAGAATTTGGAGTCATGAAACTGGTTCACTGGTTTGGGTTTTTTGGAGAGGTGGTTTGGGTACAAGGAGGACAGAGAAGGTAAAGTATCTTTTCTTGTACCATTACGTAGTGTGGGGAGAGCTAACAAGAATCATAGAATATAGCATGTCCTTTGCTGAGATGAGTTTATGACTTAAGATAAATTTTTCAGCTTCAATGATAGGATACAGCATATTCTAAACGGACAACACTTCTTTTCCTCGTGTTCAACTTCTCTTCAAGCTTAGAGTAAAAATCAGAGCTAGAATTGATTAGACAGGTTCACTGGGAAAAAAATAAAAATCCTTTTATAGTTAAATAATAGTCTCCACGTTTGATACATGGTTGCTGGCCTCTGAAACCCCTAATTGATGCATCATCACTGACAATCTCCTGTTATCGGCATATATTTAAGTTGATCTGTTGTTATCCTCCCTGCTTTCTGCACGCAATACTTGCAAGAGCACACAATGTCAGTACCTATTCTGACAGTTTTCATTACAATTTATAGCCTAGAAATCGAAGTAGACCTTGCAAAAAGCAGCTTACACCTTTAGACACAACCTGTGTCTGATCACAACCCCTCCATCTCCATACAGGCCAACAGTTAGTAGTTATTTTTTGAACCCGCCCTTGAACAGTAACTCACCTAATCTCTATCCCCAAAGTGACGCCAAAGGAAAGTGTGAGAAGGCAGCAGCACAGAACTTTCCAAGTCTGCCGAGGCAAGAAAAACATTACTTTTTTTCATTATTGGTGTTGTGGTTTGTATAATCTTCTATTGTCTTGTCATCCACACTAAGTAGGAATTATACTTGTAGCCTTGGAATATATTCACAATAAATCACTTATATAGTTATTCACTGCCTCAGCTCCACTTGATACAAAAGCTGATTATTGCCACATATTCTTTTCGCTATGAATATTATCCCATAAATCAGGGACTCATCTGTATATCACATCCTGCAAGCAGCCTCCTCTTGAATAAAGAGTTGAGGCTGCCTACCCCAGCATGCCATGTTTCTCCTTCATCTGAGCAGAAGGCCAAAACCTTGTTTTCTACAAGATTTCTCCTTTTTCCAAAAAGGATATTTTAAACTAATTTGCACCAAACAGAATATGACTTAGAACTTCAGAATCTTTCTAAAATTCTTCTGTAAGACCTCCGTTGAGTGATTCTAGGACACTCGTCTTCAGTAAATCCTTCATATGTGAAGTTTTCACCTTGCCAGAAACAGCTGAGAGTACAGTAGAAATAAAAGATTTAGAAAGAAAATAATGCACCCAGCACCCTCTATCCTTGTTCTCTAGGCGTGGAAGTTTTGCATGTAGATTGGACCTTTGTCGCACTTTTGCTCCTTGGGTTTGCAGGTGCACAAATCTCAAATCACATGAGGCTAGGTCAAGGATAAAGTGGTTTAAAATGCAGTGATAGAAAATTCAGCTGGGCAAACTGAAGCACAGCAGCAGTCTTAAGGTGGTTCATACTCAGAGCACACCAAACTCTTGAAATTCTTCTTAAGTCACAGTAATCAAGAATGTTACTGGTATCTCTAAAACTGAATGCTCGGAAGCATGACAATTCTTCTTGTCTGGTTGATACTTAATAGGAAATAAGCATATGAATCCAAACGGGGCAGGCCAAATATGTAGGAAACTCACTTTATAATTTGAACGAGACTCAGCATTTGTGTTGTTCTTCATGCAATTCCCTTCCAGAGAAAGGACAGTTACAAACATCTCTGAAAGTGTCAGTTCATGTTACAAATCTTCTGTAAAAGTGGCACAAATTAAAAAATGGTCACTCATTTCTTGATGACTGGAATATTTTTCTAATATCTCTGCCTTTTTTCCAACTGATGGACATTTGAAAATAATTGGAGGAAGTGGAAGGCAAGATTGGGGTAAATAGAAAGAGATTGCAGATAGTCCAGGCTTGGATGTATAAAACCATTAGCTCCTAGAAAATCTTTTGCAACCGTGCAGTGGAGTGTCTAACATGCCTTTCAAAAGAAATACAGGCTTTAATGACATTCATGGCTCTTGCTCCAACACACAGAACTACACCAATGTGTATTCTCTTACCCATCATTATCACTAGGTTGGGTAACAAGGACAAAGAGCACTGCAGATCTTCCTTAAACCATGTTGGGGGCGAGGCCTAGATTTGTGAGATTAAAAGAAATCAGAAATCAGAAATTAAAACCCAAGAGCAATTTCTGGGTCATCAATATGCAGTCTGTATTTACAGCAGGCAAAACAATTGAGATGGAAAATGGTCTTTATATTAAAAACAATGCTATGAACAGTATCTAAACAAAATCCATGAAAATAATGGCCCCTCAGTGCACAAACAAACTCTCCAAACAAAATTAAGAACCTCACTTTGGTACTCTTGCAGAGATATTTTGATTAGGATTCCCTGAGGATAATGATCTTCCTGAAGAGCAACCATAGATAAATGTAAAATATGAGTCATAATTTTAGCAAGAGCTCAGAATGATCCAAGTTTTGCGAATGAATTAAAAAAAAAAAACCAACACCACAACAGTTTAGAGATGTAAGTAAACTTATATTCATACAAACACTTTCTCACACTTCAGAACAATGTGGCCAGAGCATGCTAAGGTGCAGGCTCTTTTTGTGGAGCTGTAGAAAACGTTAAAGTGTGTGAGATGGCCTGGGCAAAGTGGGCTGTCTTGCCCTTTTTGGCAAATCCTTGTGAATGTTTCTGTCCATTCGGACCGTGTTGTCCAGCTGCTCAGTTATCATTAGGAAGTCGCTCTTGAGTTGGAAATGGAGCAAGCTGACAGGAGTTAATGCACAAAAAAAGTAAGAAACGACTGTTACTGAATGTTAAGCTGGCAAAAGACCATTTGTCCTGTGCCTGAAGTCATCTCAGGAAGCGACAGAAACCATGTTTTGAGCCATTTCTCTGTTAGAAACCCAGGCCACGTCTGTCGAGCCCTGAGGATTGGTGCCACGCCAGGGTTGGCTATTCCTCTGCTGTTGGCAGAGCACTGCCAATGGATCACACTGCTGCAGCTCATTGCAAAATTACTCTTCTATCTCTGAATAACACTATTTGGATAGCACTAAAAAAGGCAGCAGTATTGCTTGTGCTGAGGTGGTGAATCTGACTAGATACCAGTATTTGGGGAACCAAAAAAAAAAAAAAAAAAAGTCAGCAAGATCCCTGAACCACCGGAATTAAACTGCTGTATTTCAGTCTCGGGCACCGAGAATCTAAATCCAACTGATTGTCAGACATGAAAAATTGCTGCTGCTCTCATTTCAAGCAAGCAGTGTATACCATCTTCCAAAAGAGTTCTGGATCGCCTGCCTCTTTCCGAGTCGGAGTGCTGCCTTTGAAATCTCCCATTTTCACCCATTTTGGCTTTAGGAAAATAGAAGTGACATTTAGCAAGGGGAACAATTTCACTGAATGCAAAACTAAAATAGAACACTTTAAAATCAGAACCTGATCGCATTGCAGAATCTCCCAGGTTTAGTCACTGAATAATTTTAATCTAATCAGACCAGCAACGCTAGTTACAGTTCCCTCCATTGTTAAGTGTCAAGTCATGCAAGATTCAGTCTTGCTTTGGGCACTGTAAAACTCTTGATAAGAGGCCAAAAAAAGATCACACTGAGCCATGCCAATAGTCTATCCAGTCCACTCTCTTGTCACCAGGAGCAGACATAAGCGGTTATATGAGGGCAGACGTGCACAATACTGCTTTCTCGTCTCCAACTCAGGTAATTGCCCAAGTCCAGATTCTTTCAGCTTTTCATCAGTTCCCCTACTGTCTCCAGTTTTGTAATATATATTTATGGAAAAAGACTCATTAGCCACATGACAAGCCAAATCCTGTGCTCTAAACCAAACATTTTTTTAATTTAAAAAAAAAAAAGGGGGGGTTAGTTCTTAGGGGATTTATTTGTTTGGGGGGTTGTTTCTTTTTTACTAGGATTAAAGAGATTTGTGAAAGGTTAGTAAGATCACAGAAAGTCACTCTCTACCAAAGCACTGAATTTTCTTCTTCATTGCGTCTCACATCTTTTCCTTCTATGCATATCACGTGTTTCAGGTTTTGAATACCAGAAGAAAGTAGAAAGTTACTGCACAAAGAAATGCGCCTCTGTAGAACAAGTGACTTTGTGATACAATCTCAGCATTTTAAAAATTAAATTTGCCTGCGATAAGCAGTAGTTAAGATCTTTGCAGTAAGTGGGTTCTCATCAGAGATACATTCCTGTCAGCCACACAAACATAACAGAGGCACTCTAAAACCAATAATGAAAGGTAAATGCAGCTTTGAAGCATTACAAATTACAGCTACTCAGGAAGTAACCTACTCTAAAACCAAAAAGATTTTAGAATGGTCCCATTCAGTGTAATCTGTGGCATGTTGGGCCCAGAATCCCATGCCCCCCCTGGCACTCCAGCTCAAACGCTGCTCCCCAGCCCAGAGAGCAGCATTTCAGCAGCGCTCGCAGAGGTGTTGAAAGTTAGGTGCGTTTGCACCCCATCAGAAGCTCTTCTGAGACAGGGTGTGAACTGCAGTCCCTTCACAGTACCGTTCAAGGCTACTTCAGCTCAGGGCACACGTAGTGCTTAGCCACTGCTAGCGGCCTTTGCTCAGATGGAGGATGTGCACAGGAACACTCCACTAGCAAAAACTCGGATCAGCAGTTTGGGGAGGTACATACCTGCATGGTGTCAGCGTGACATGTCCCACTATCTTGCTAACCTGTGTCTTCATTGTATTTTGCAAGTCAGTGTCACTACAGGTCTTTACCCTGAAGCAAGGGTGAGCATATGCATGAATCTGTCACAACAGATGTTACTTTTCTGTAGGGGAAACAAATTATCCATAGAGAAAATGCGTATAGGATAATCTGCTTTGACACAAGGGATTTACTTTGTCCCACTCAAACACACTTGCCCATTTACATTTTAAAAATTGCGGCCTTCAAAATGTTATCGCAGCACTGCAGGAATCTTTCACCTTGGCAGACAGTGAGGCTTCTCTCATATTAAATGAATGGCTTAGTGGTTTTATTGTGCTAAGCTAAACTAAGCACTTAACTCATTAATTCATCTCCACTATTTGCATTAAGGAAGACCTGCTGTTTTAAATGAGTCATACCTCTTTTTGCCCCACTCAAACATTTACGCAGTCCCTTCTTTACCCAAAGCTTGTCAGTCATAGCTAGCACAGATCTAGAAGTCAGAGTGGGATTTTTTTTTTTTCCAGTATTGCCAGAATTTTTGTTAATTTCTTCACATTTAAAGAGCTTCCGTTTGGCAGGGGCTCTGAAAGTCAATTACTACAAGTACATAAAAGGTTGCTATGTTGATCAAGATATCTTAGCCACACTTGTAATGTTTTAGTACGCCTTAAAGCAAACTCTTGTTTATTGAAACAAGCTACACAACTAATTTGTTAAGCAACATGGGTCTGTACAACTGGTTTAACCTTACTAAATGTCTGCTGGCTCAGAATAATTACGAATTCCTCAAGAAGTAAATCAAACATACAGAGCCCTACTGCAACACTTCCTGTGGTACTAACGCCAGTGCGGGAACTGGTGTTATTGGCTTATTTACAAACATATGCAAGCCTATTGCTCTGCTCAGAACAGAAATGTACGAGTTTTCTGTTTTTCTGAGAAGGGAGGAGACAGTGTCATTAATATGAGGATGGAACAAAATGCTGTAGACATGCAAAGGTGACCGTATTTTTTCGTTATAGGACAGCATCAAAACATGTAGACAAAGATCTTGGAAATATAGAAGAAAACAAAAAACTAGAAGAAAATAATCATAAATCTGAAACTTAAGAGACAAAATGTGTCAGTCATCGTTCCAGGTAAGTATTTCATATTGCAGTGTTTCACATCTCTTTGTCCACCATTTCTCCCTGGCAATCTGTGTCTAGCGATCACAGTGGTAGCTTGGAGCCTGTTGCACCATTCAGAGGTGAGGCGGGGAGGTGGTTTTGAGTCGTGCACTACTAGGACAGACTCACTCAGCCCCTGGCCAGTTAAGAATTCATACCTGCATACGCACATGTTAAAGCAGCCTGACATTTAGACATAACTTAGTACTTGGTTTTATTTTAATCCACATACCTGGGGAAAGGAAAATACAAATTTGTACAATGTGTCACTGTGGTATGGGTGTGTGTACATATGTATGTATATGAAGAGTATGTTTAGATATAGTTTACAAGGTTTTGAATTATGACTTTAAATGTTCAGAGGAACCTTCTTCCCTTACTGAAAGCAATAGTTGCTAAGTCTTTAGTCAGCTTTATTGCTATTTATTTATTTGTACATTCTCACTGCAAGAGGCATGAAACTTTCCCTAGAACAAAATCATTCTTTTACTCAAGATTTCACATAATCATACTATTATGGACTTTATCCTGGAAAGAGACACTGTATATTAAGTTAGTAACAATGCAAGAAGCATGAAAGTTTCTCCAACCGGGACCCGCATGAAATGAACTCTATACAAATAATTAGGTAGATGCGGAAGTTCTGCCAGGAGTTACAGGGGCGCTGCAAAGCACCAACAGCACCACCTGGTGTTCACACGCAGATACACCACTGCTGCACGTATTTGTGCCACTGCTGCCTCTCTCCCCGTAGCACCCAAAGTAGGGGTTTAGACCATTTTTCTGACCAACCGAGGCCATTTTAAATTAACACTGTGGTAGCACAACAGTGTGGAAATCAGCTAACCATATTGAGGTTTCTTGAGTTCAGCATCGACTGTTCTTAAAAATGTGAATAGTGAGTGTTCAGTGGCAGTGCCTTGTGAGTAAATTACCACATTTCATGTTTAGATTAAAAAAATTATTCTTTAAATAGCGACAGCTCTCCTTATTAGTAATTCCAATATGTTAGTATTGTCTGAAATTTTAAAGTACAAGGTACTCTTTTGTGCCCTACATATTCAGAATTCACTAGGTAGAATGATTATATGATGTATAGAGAGACATAGTATTGCTATATGCACTTTGCTAGTGATATCACTGGTTTACTAGTTTGAAAGAGGGAATTGGGAATACAAAAATTACGCCAAATGAACCATTTAAAAGTGGAAGATAAATTTGGATCTTGAAAAAGTTTCAGTGTAAATACACAGAATTTCTACTGCAATTCTATGGGAAAATTCTGCCATCTTTTTGGTTAGGGCTTCTTTTGTACTTTTTTTTTCCGGACCTGGTACCTTCTGCAACATTGCGATGTCGAGGTGATTAGATGGAGCTGAAGTTAGCTGAGGGTATTTATTGAACTCGGGAGTTCAAGTAATATCATGTGCCTTCGGCGCAATCTTTTACTGTATTTATTTTATTTCTTCAGATCAGTAGATGTACGTAAAGGAAAGCTTATCTGTAAATCCATTACTTACCAGATAAACTTACCACATTTACTGGGAGTAATATTGCAACACTTGTTCTTATCACAAAAGAAAATACCTCCTCATTGAAGGCAGAAGAAAGTACTCTTCCTGTACCTGTTTGATTTGAAGGTTGGATATTGAGTAGTTATTGTTGGTTAGCATACATTAAAATGTTTAACTGGCTTTATCTTTCATGTTTTCAGAGAATACATATAGACCAATTGAAGCATGAACGTGGATTGTATTTAAACATATACAAAGAAGTGACAGCTATTCATGGTTCAAGTATTAAGCAGATCATACTACCAAGTTTTCAAAGGATTTTAGACACAATTATTTCAAGCTAAAAAATCCCCACAAACTAATTTTGGCAACAGCCATGATAATAGGTCACCATGTTGTGTTCTGTTTGAAATATTTTTTGTAAATGTCTGCACTGAAGATTTCTTTTTGTTTGCCTTTATGTAAATTTTTTACGTAGCTATTTTTATACACTGTAAGGCTTTGTTCTGGGAGTTGCTGTTAATCTGATGTATAGTGTAATGGTTTTATTTCAATTGTTTTTATGACACCCTTTGAGCAGGTACGTGTCTAATTCTGATTGTAATCAGTGAAGCCTCTGCTTTGTAGCGAGTACCTAGAGCATAAGATTGTCTTAAAGGAAAATGTCAAACTCCTTTTTCATTCTTTGAAGTCACAGTAAAGAGGAAGGGAGACAGCTGTGACAAGAATAAATGAAATTGTTAATAAAGGTGAACATTTAAAAAACCAGGCAAAGCTAAACAGCCAGAAAGGGAATAAAGAGTTTCCACGAAGAAGTCTGGGTATTGAGCAACGAACACAATGAAAAATTTCTGGCCTGCGTACAGACGGTGGCTAATAATCCTTTTCTTCTAGCGCAAGACACACATTTTCTTGATAAGTTATCAGTCGTCTTTCATGTTAGAATTAGGATGAGGAACTGGAATTCTGGATTAATTTTGATTCCTTTGTTATCCGCTGCCTTAAAGTACTGTACCTTTTCTTCATTTCAGAAAGATACCAGTCAGAATTGGAAACTTTTTTTTAAAAGTGGTCATATCAAAGCTGCATTTTTTTCCCCACAAAAATAGAATATATATATATATATTTTTTGTGTGTTTTTGTTAACTATGCTACAGATATTGAATGCACCTTGAGATAATTTTAGTGTTTTTAACTGGTACCTAATTTATCAAACAGTACATATAATTGTAACAATGAAATGTCTATGTATCTTTAGTTACATTCAAGTTTGTAACTTTATAAACATGTTTTATGCTTGAGGGAATTTTTAGAATGGTACTGATAAGAAAACATTTTAGGGTAAATGACCAACAGAAAGTTGTACTTAAGGGAGAGAAGTTTCATCTTATGCAGAAGGTTACTGTCTGGAAGAATGTCACAGGCAGCTTTGATGGAGAGGAACAGTAGGTTAAGCAGAACATCAGGTTTCCATTTACAAATATCCAGGGAAAAAGTAAGTTTTTATAGACTGGTAAGCAAAAATAAATAAATAAATAAATAAATAAATAAATAAAAGAAAAAGATGGACGTTAGGAAATGTATTTTGCCACTTTTGCATTATTTAGGGGGAAGAAAACACTGTTACTTGTAAATTTGTAAAATGTTAAATGTCTGGGCAGTAGTGACTGATGTCTTAATAAAAGCTTCCTGTAGTGCATTGGCATGGATTAAATACATAAGATGTCCTATAAACTCTATGCTGTATAAAATATTAGAGGGAAATCCTGTTATATGCCTCTAAACTTTGATTTGTTATGGTTTTATTTGGCAAAAAGGAAAAAATTATAATCTTGGTCAATATTTAAACCAAAGTAAAATGGGGGAAAAAAACCAAAGTAATTTGTTTTGCATGGCTAAGCCATTCTGTTATCTCTGTAAATATTGTGATTTTTTTTCTTTTTAGAATTTTGTTAAAAAAATTCTAAAATTTTTAAACACCTGTTTTTCCAAAATAAAACGTGAACACACAAAAAAAGTTACTTTATATACAAATATATCTTTTTCTTTTGGTGCGAGAACACTGCCAAGTGATTCACATTTTTTAAAAACAAAAACCAACCCTGCAGTGAGCACGTGACTCTGAACAGGAAGAGTTGTAACAGAGTCCTGGGAAGGAGGGTGCAGACATCACCTGTCTTTGTCTATAACACTACAAATAGTTCTTGAATACAGAGAAGAAACCTCCAAAGATCATAAGGGAAAGCATAGGGAAGGGCTGAAAATTTTCATACCACTGTCTGGGGAATGCGGGGGAGAGGAGAAGACAAAAAGTCCTTGAACTTCCACAGCTACGAAAAAGGAATAACAACTCCTCGCGTTTTGGGATTCTGCGAGATCTCCTATGCACTTTAAATCGTCAGTCCTAGGAGCTGGGTTTTTCACTGCTCCAAGTTCACTATAAGCACGTTTCAAGAACCAAGAGTGCGAAAGAATTAATGTTTCTATCCATGCCTAAACAATAAAACTGAAGTATGTCTTCACTCGCGTGTCTGAAATCTCAGTTTACAAGAACATGTATGAACACGAGGGAGGGCACTTACCTGGAGCTGGCGCTGTTGCCGACTCTAATCCTGCAAATGAGCCCACGTGGAGTCTGGCTGGGACAAAGTCCCATGAAGCCCGGGGGGCTTGGTGTGGGTATATGGGCCTTCTCGCAGACCAGAGGGTCAGGACCTACAGAGCATAAGCACTCCCTCAGAGAAAACCTTCTGAAAGTTGATCACGCAGGTCTCTGCTTGTGACCTGGTTAAAAAATACCGTAATTATGAATTATAAGGGGGCCTGATCAAATCTGATTTTGTACACTGCTCAGAAGTTCAACTTCAGTTTACTACACACGGGAAGAAAAAAAATCCCTGCTCACAAACCGTTTAAAAGCCCAGCAAGAGGGAGCGGGAGAGTGCCGATCCTCTTGTTTTAAGGCTGGGAAATTAAGACAGTTTGTGGTGTCTGGTCATTGCTGTACAGAAAACTGCCACTGAGCTTGGAACAAACCAACAGCTTTCCATGCTGCAAAGGCACCATCGTGCAAAATACCCTCTGGGCTTCCCAAGCAACTATGTCACTAGAACAGTAATACCAAAACCTTAGCTGTACTGCAGTATGAGCCACTATTAAAACACTCACACAGAAACATGACAGTGGTGCAGCCAGAAGGTGATGCCTTCTAAAAAAAAAAAAAAAATTAAGTAGTTTGGGTCAACACAACAAGAGGCAAAGCATCAGGGGCATTTTGTACTGGTTCCAAGTGCTGCAGAACAGCCTCTGTTCAAGGGCTTTATTACACCTCAGCTACTGCACTGCTGCGGCATGCAGCTGGTCAGAGCCTTAACTGGTGTTAAATGTTGCCAGTAAAACAAACGAGCCGCACCTGATTGTCTGTATATTAGCCATGACTTGCCAACATCAACCCAGCACTGCAGATGGTTTAGGCAATATGTTACACCCTCTCCTGGACAGAGAGTTTTCATTCTGACATGTTTTGAAATACATACATACATAAGTAATTCTAACTTCTGTATCTATCGTTACTTGAATGTTATGAGATACTAGCATGAGTTTTTATCCATATTGGTATCAGCCCAGAGACACAGACAAAAAAAATTAATAAATGTAAATTTGCTGTCTTTTTTTTTTTTTTAAGATAATTTCATCAAGGAACATCCAATATTCATCTAATATCTTCAGCTGCTGGCTGTTGCAGTTAAATCTGATTTACTTGTAGTACCACATGTAGCTGGATACCTTCCTGTTGACTTCATGTTCAGACAGCCATATGTATGCAATTATCTTAGCTAAGATTAAGCAGTGACATACGAAATGAGATCATGACCTCCTGTGTCAGCCACATCTGTGCAAATCTTTTGTGCGTTTTCTTTTGACAGGAATGCATCTCCATTCAGGTGTCTGTTTCCAAGAATTGCTCAGTACAGGGTTTTTTTCAAACAGATTTCTCCTCCAGTCAGAAGATGGAGGGAACACAGGAGATGATACCTAACTTCTTCTAGTTACATGCGTCTCCAAGACCCTGAAGGGGCCCCATGCTCTTCTGGAAAAGGGTAGCATCCTCAGGCTGGCATAATTCAGTGCTGAGCAAGGCTGACTTCAGCCTTCCCTCACAGTGGTCTGCCAGAGAGGGACGGCAGTGCCTTACTACCACAGGAGGGGAGGGAGGGAGTTAAGACGGGTTGCAAACGGACCAACAAACCAACCCACCACACACACCCCCCTTAACTGTGCATGCCTCCTGTAATGCAGCGCACACACACTGTCAATAGTGATTTGCTACATTTCAGATTATCAGAGAACAGAAACTAAGCTTACTACTTACCAAATTATGTCAAAGTCATTTTTTTAAAATAAGACTAACTCCATCCACCCAGCCACTCCCAAGTCTTTAAATTTCCATCCTGTAATTCATCTAGTTTTCTCACATTCTAAACAGAAACATTGATTATATTAGCAGCAAGGCATTCTCTTTGATATAGTAATGAATTTAAAGTGGAAAAGGTAGAGCCTGACAAATTATTAGGAAAGTTTTTTCCTTAGTGAGAAAACAGTAATGTGCCTCTCTCATCACCCACTGCACCTTCCCCCCCTCAAATGTTTTGCCTGTTCTCATGTTCCTCCACCTGGTGATACAGCTAAGGCTTGTATCGTCCTCTGCTCCCTGTTCTAGCACTTTTTTTCACATCCTCTGTGCTATATAGATTGATTCTCTGCTGCCCTTGCCATCAGTAGTTTGTAGGACATTTAGTTCAGAAATGCCAAAGCACCTTGAGATAAATACCAGCAGTTTAGCACCACTATAAACATAAAATGGGCTGTGAAACAGGAAAAAACCCAGAAAAGTACCCAGCTTCCCATGCTTGGGCTTCTATGTGTCAGTATGCATTGTTCTGCAGTCCCCTGGATTTTCCCATTTTGGAAAAATGGTGCAAAGTCTAATCCACACTACAAATGCTCAACTGTAATACCATAACATATACCTATAGCACCAACATGCCTAAGCCTTTTACTGCCCTTCTTTTTTTTTTTGGCTGACCCTTTTGCTGTCACTCATAAAACTAGAAATAATGTTAACTAGAAAACATCAGGAATCTTTGGTACTGGAACACCAGCACAAGTCTTATGTTTAAGAATGTGGTCTTTTTTCATATATTTCAGTCCATGTAGTTTTGATGCAAAGATTTATTACGTACAGCCCAGCCCTGGACTTGAGAGAGCAGAGGGAAGAAAGTAACATCCTATCGCTTTAAGTAGTAACAGATTTAATTCTGTTTATAGTTATTTTCACCCATTTACTTTTTCTAGGAAAAGCAGTCCCTCTTTCGATACAAACCTACATTCAACCTTGCTCAGAAAAACTATTTAATAAAGCTTATATTAAGAGAGGCCAACTACAAATCCAGAACAGGAGCAATACTTCCCTCAGCTTAAACTCATATCATCCTAATCCTTTTTTTCCCTGAGATTCTCATTGGAGCAGTCAATTAATCACCTGCATAGGTATATCACTGATGACAATTTCTTTTCTCCAGAGCTAGAAAGCAAATACAAATTCAGATTGTGTTGTAAGTGTTCAATAATATCTACACACCAGATCCAAGATTTCATTAGTATTTGCATCTGTCACAAGAAGAGTTAGTCTAGCATGGACAACAGAATACATTTAAAAGGAAGAACATAATTGAATTTAAATTCAGGAAATGAAATGAATTAAAGAATCAAATAAAACCTCATATAGACAAAGTATTTCCACAAATCCAATTTCAGTGATGTTGATATAAAAGCTCTCTCTGTTTTTATTACTCCAAATAAAGAAAGATCACACTCATTTCCATGAATTTAAGAAACTAAACACACACAACACACACAACTGGCCAAAGTGACTGCACTTACTAAACAGAAAGAAATAGGATATGGAAATCGCATCAGACGGACGTTCTGATAAAATTAGAGTTAGCAGGAGTACCAGTGTGTGGAATAAGGTAGTTTCAATTCTATGTGCAATGAATTTCTAACCCCCCACTTGCTGTACCTTGAAGTAATCCATTTTGCAGTGCAGTCTGGGTTTGCTGCATCTCTTCTGCACAGTGCTGGCTCTTTGGATTTTCCTAATCCAAAATATATCACCACCAACTGTGGAAACGCAGAGGTTTTTTCCCACTGAAATTTTTACATGTATTATAGGCAGGGGCAAGAAGTACAAGTTTGGCAACAAAAGCCAGCAGTAGTTAGAAGCTCTTGAGAAAGTATCACTCATGGACTACCTGCTTTCACACTGAAAAATCAACCATTTAGTCCTTCAAAAAAGGGGTGAGAGAGAGAAGGGAAGAGTGAAATTGCCAGTAAATAGAAGCATAACTCAGTAAAAGTTACCTTTAGTGAGATCTAAATATTTTTCAAGTGCAAATCATTTAAAAAAAAGGGCAAAAAAAGCAGCTGAGATGGGAATGTTGCCGTGGTCACTGCCCTCCAAGGCTGTAGTCCTTAGGTGTAGTGCTCCATCCTAATGCTACCTCTCCTCTCTCTAGAGCGCTTATTCAAGCATTTGCTTGCTCCTCATTGTATATATGCTTTTCTACGTTTACACTAGCTAAAAGGTGCTAATAGCTATCACTAAGAACAGATCTGGAACCCAAGACAGTCAGAGCTATCCTTTGTAAAGCTGCTACCCTTAGTGGCCACCTTTATCTCCAATGGAGGAAACCGTCAAATCTCTTATTATGGCTCCAGAGAAGGAGCAATCTATAGTATTGGCCAGAGGTAAAT